CCCCCCCCCCCCCCCCCGCTGTCCACTACTGCTTGATCGTAGAGCATTTCGTTAATTTTGCATGTAGATGTATCGTGGGCAGGCCGCGAGACTCCCGCCAACCTCCCCCCGCGGCGTCTTTTTTGCTTCTTGCACCACAGATGAAGGCCGTTGCGGCCATCGAGATCGAAGATGACCTCAAGCAGTTCGAAGAGCTGCAGAAGGTAGTCAACGGGTACCTAGCGCTGAACTCGTCGAGCGAAGCGATTCGCTGGTGAGCAAAGGGCGGCGGTTTTGGGGATACTCACGTAAACACATGATGCCGTAGTCGTTGGACGATTGACCTAGAATCCATACCACGTCGGGACTGGGCGATATACTGGGTTGTTGCCGGCCCACGCTTGTACGTTTCATAAGGATGGACCTGGGAGGGCAAGCATTTCATGGTTTCACTGCTGCTGTTATCGATCGGGTTTGATTTTCCTGTATGGTTTTGGGTACGACCCTCGAAAGATACGTCACACTGTCCACAACTCGTGCCCAGCTCAAGGATGTGGTTGCCGCTGCGGTTCGGAGATAGTTGTCTGGATGGTGATAGTACATCCATGTTCGTGCGGGAGGGAAGAGAGGGAATATGAAAACCCTATAGAAGTAAACGTATCCAAATGGCGTAGAATGTCACCCCCCCCTGACCGATTTCCGAAGCTCGATTACTCGGTAGGAAAAGCACCAACGGTGCCGACAATGGCGGCGTTGGAACCGCCTAGTCGAGAGCTTTCCTAAAACAAGTTGTTTGATTTCGGCATCCTCTTCGTCGTGGAGCTATGAGGCCTTCAAAGGCGGTCCATGGGGTGTGGTATCTTACGTATCTCATGCAACATACGGTATCCCCCTAGTCTTGGTTGGGAAAAACACGCCCTCTGGAAATAAGAAAAAAAGCGTGTTCTTATTGTCGCTCGTGGCTTCGGGTTGTTTCCTAAGAATGGTCTGTCTCGTTGTGCACCGTGACCCCCCCATCCCCCCACCCCGTCTTTTCCACCCACCGGTGCCCCTTCCCGCCCCGCGTTTCCCGGCTGCCGCCCCAGGTACTCAGGGAGCGCGCAGCCTTACCTGGGAGGAGAACAATTTCACCCGTTCTGATCGTCTCCATTCCTTCAATAGCCGACAACATCGTTCTGCATTGTAAAGATGGTGAATGGTTCTTCTGGCGGTGCGACCGGAGCCGGGGGGGCGGTAGAGGCTGCCGCGGTTTCGAGCAATGGAGAGCCACGCAATCAGTCCATCGCGGTCAGGCGTTGTGTTGTTTGGTTGGCGCTCCTCTCTACCTTTTGTTGGCGTCCTCGTCAATCGAGGTGCTGGTGTTGGTGTATTTGTTGTTGTTGTTTTTGTTGTTGCTGTTGTGTTGTAGGTGTCTGCACCTGTTGTAGGTGTCTGCACCTGAAAAGCCGTTGGGGTGTTTGCTACCGTAGCTTCGAGACCGGTCCACCTCACGGGACGCTTTCCGTGGCGTTCACAGCCCAGCGATCTCCCCGAAAGGCTAAATACACACTCATGTGTCGCTATTTTGTGTACCACTCAGCGCTATTCTTGTCCCGGTGCTTGGCTTGGCTTAGATTCTGCTATGCTGTCGACATCCACGTCCATGAAATCGCTAGCTGCTGCTGCTGCTGCTGCGTTGGGTGCAGGGTTGTCCATGCCGGCGGAAGGGGTTTGCATTTTTCGGAGTCGGCGCGGTGTTTGCCCTCCACCCGCCCGCCCCGCGCTCAGTCAACGTCTCGCTAAAGTGTTTAGTTTAGTGTGTTTTCGGACACAACGATCGATCTTTGACTGGAGGAGGAAAGGATCACTGCGCACCTACAACCGTAGGGGATAGCTGATTCGGTGGTTCGTTTGTGTCGATCGATGCTGTGATGGGCGCTGCCATCCAATGTTTGTTGTTTTGGTGACACCCCGGTGATTTTTGTTTCCTTTTCAAGTGGGTCGTACAAGGCGGCGGTTGGGGGTTGGTCGTGACATCTTGTCGGTTGTGATGCGATTGCCACATCTGTGCGTTGCGCCCGGAACGGGCAAGGCTAAAGGTGCTAGATGGTTGCGCGGGTTGACCAGCTGTGCCGTCTTTTGCGCTGCTGCTGCTGCTGTGCTGTGAGATGCCGTGTACGGTGGGGGGGGCGATATAGTCTGGTGCCATCCTGAACACAACCTTGAAGTCGGGACCCCGAAAGTTTCGCGTATCGGATCATGTATAGGTTTTGGCCATAGTCGGCAAATATCGTGCCAAGAGGCTTTGAACGCACAATCTCGACTCCTTGTTGGGAACCTACCGACCCTAACCTAGCGGACAGGAGCTGTCGTGTTTCTGCGGGACGATCTCAAGACTAACAAGGCTAAACACAACATTATGTCTGGCGCAGCATGTCCCCGGCCAACAGTCCATCGTGGTCAGTTCTTTCGCAGCATCAGCACGTGCAAGTGTGGAGTCTGCGTTGAAGCCAGCCCGTATGGTCGATGGACGGACGTACATGCTGATCCACTCATGGCCTTGGTAGCGTGACCCTGCAAGTTCTTTGTGGAGGAGTCTTTGTTCTTAGTTGCAGTTAGCTCAGTTTTTTTGTTTTTGTCGCGTGCTTGCATTCGAGAGCTGGGGGGGGATGGCGAGCGGTGTAGCATTTTCGTGATGCGCCAATCGCTGCTGTTGCGTGTGTGTTTTTTTTTTCATGCTTCCCACCGGACGGAGAAGTCTTCATGCGCTCAAGTGGAGTGAGTGTCTTGTGCTGTTTTTATGCTCACGATCGAGAGGTTGTCTGTTTTCTCTTCTGCTATCGCCGTGCGCCAATCCGTTCTGTGTTTCCCCCAACAATTGGCTGGCGAATAAGAAACAGCAGTTGCAGGTTTTTTTTTTTGGTACAATTATACATTTTGTTTTTCTGTTGTACCATGACGCCCTAGAAATACAGTATGTTGACGGCTGATTATGACTTCCGTCGACAATCCGTTTGATTTGCATCGTTTGGTACCATCATGACGAGCAGCAGGGCGGCTTGGGGGGGGATTTATTTTTCGTCGTGTGGTGAACGCGGGGCGGTATGCAGGGAGAGAAAAATACAGTGTTGTGCAGTGTTGGTTTTGTTAACACTTTGTGTTGAATGGATGGTTCGGCAGCGTTGTGCTGTATGTTTCTGTGTGCGGTAAGATTTTTAGGGAAATAGACAAAAGTGGGTATACCCACCCCATTCTCGGACAAAAGTGGGTACTCGAAAATCCAGCGCGCGCGCACTCCATAGGCGGCCCCCAAACGACTCAAAAACCCCATGACAACTGCGCGACACAGCCAGGGACCATACACAGCCTGGGCATCGATTTTATCCCTTTCAGGCACACCTTTGGCCCTAATACCGCCGAGGCGCACAGGGCCTCAAGAGAGTACCCACTTTTGTCCGACATCGCGGTGGGTATACCCATCGGCGTCAAATAATCCAGCTGAAATAATCATTGTCTATATTTTGACCCACTTTTGTCCAAATTGTGTCCACTTGTGTCCACTTACGGACGGCGGAAATCGAGCGGAAATCGACCTCCACGTCACCGCACGGCAGAACATCGAATAGCTCGTAACGTCTCAGAACCTCCCAACACCGTATGTATCCATGCCATCTTTCGTATCCATGACTGCCGATTGCGGACCGACCGCGGAGGAACATGTCAGATACATGCCAGGCCCCTTAGGTACCGGCACGGGAGGATACCAGGTACGGGAAGATGCTCGGGGCAAGGCCGGCAAGCAGCGTACAAACGGCAAACGCCACAAATTTATGCGTGACACGCAACGGACAACAAAACCAACGGGCGCGCATATGGAATGAAAAGACGCGCATAGACCACAGCAACAACACACACACGTCAAAACACCAACAAAATCTACTATGCACTTGAGGCGACAGGTTGTGCATTCATTCGCTCATTTGTAGTGTGGTATGCCAATATGGGAAAATGCGGCCTACAGTATTGATTGGCCCACATTCGATTCCTCCAGCTGTACCCCTAAACCAGTAGTGCTTGGAAGTTCGTGCATGCAAAGTATGAAACTATTTATGTGTATGCCAACTCTTGTGTACTCCGGAGTACGCAATGTGCGGCCTATTTCTTCCTTAAACCGCCATCCATAAAGTAGCAGCGAACGAACGCAGCGTAGCGAACAGCGAACGGTATCTGTTTCGGTCGCATGTTCGGTTAGGTTTCTAGGGGATATCAAGCCGGATTTCACGTGTATACGCCATAGAGTAAACCGGCCAATTAACGAACGCTTAAGCCACCCCTCGCGCCAACAGCTCGTTCTCGGGCATGAAGAGGAGTATGATGTATTTGTGGGTACCGGACGATAGCTTGTATTATAGGCTACCTCCCTAAAAAAAAAAAAAAATCGTTCGTGTCAACGAGATAGAGCTGATGCAGTGCATTCCATTGTTTAGCTGAAAATGCAGGAAAACACCCCCCCCCCCC